ATTTAGATACTGCAAGTATTATTTGAGCGCTGCGAGTATTTGAGTAGTGCGAGTAGTTGAGCGCTGCGAGTATTATTTGAGTGCTGCGAGTAGTATTTGAGTGCTGCGAGTATTAATTGAGCTCAGGGAGTACATATTTGAGCGTTGTGAGTATTATTTGAGCACAGCGAGTATTTGAGCGCTGCGGGTATTATTTGAGTGCTGCGAGTAGTATTTGAGCGCTGCGAGTATTACTTCCGCGCTGCGAGTAGTATTTGAGCACTGGGAGTATTTGAGTGCTGCGAGTATTTGAGTAGTGCGAATATTATTTGAGTGCTGCGAGTAGTATTTGTGCGCTTCGAGTATTATCTGAGTACTGTGAGTATTATTGGAGCGCTTCGAGTATTATCTGAGTACTGTGAGTATTATTGGAGCGCTGCAAGTACATATTTGAACGCTGTGAGTATTATTTGAGTACTGCGAGTATTATTTGAGCGTTGCGAGTATTACTTATGTGCTGCGAGTAGTATTTGAGCGCTGCGAGTATTATTTTAGCGCTGCAAGTAGTATTTGAGCGCTGCGAGTATTTGAGTAGAGCGAGTATTATTTCAGTGCTGCAAGTATTTGAGTGCTACGAGTAGTATTTGAGCGCTGCAAGTATTATTTGGGTCTTGCGAGTATTATTTGAGCGCTGCGACTACATATTTGAACGCTTCGAGTATTTAAGTACCGCGCAAATTGTCCATTTTTTGCATCGATCTGCGTCATTTTCTCTGTCCATTTAGCAGCGCCGAGGCGACGGAAATCGCGAATACAAAGGAGCCGAGAAAACACCGTGACGGACACTGGCGAGTCGCGAAAGGCGGAATAAGAAGATCGACGTTGAACGAACGGCTCTCGGCCGGTATCTCGAAAAACACGCTTTCGAGAAACGGAGATCGCCGAGCGGACAGTCGCGGATGGTCGCGGGCACGGCGATAGCGTTCGCCGAGGCATGTTCGTCGCGATACCGGGGATCGATAATAGCCGGCAGCGTGCCGCACAGTGCACACCGCACGCTGCTGCACGGTGCACACTGCACGCCGCACACGCACGCGCCGAGCCTCTCTGTGTGTGCACGGCGCGGCTCGGTGTGCGGGCTCTCGCCGCGGCGTGTTGGATCGCGTACGTGTATCTACGTAGGCAGACAACCGGGATCGCTGTATAGAGTGAGAGAGGGGGGGGGAGAGGAGAGAAGGAGAGAGATGCAGGGCACTAAAAGAGAGAGGGAAAGAGAGCCGGTACAAAGTGTACGAGGCTCGTCGCATCGGTTTTACACTCCTCCGTTTCCCTCCCTCGGTGTTTTTATAGTTCGTGACTCGTTCCTTCGTTTCCCGGGTGTTTCGCGACACGATCCGTCGCGTGTTCCGCCGGGATCCAGCCCGTTCAAAGTTAATCGTCGCGCCGTGACGCGCCGCGCCGACCGTTCGAGAACGTACGCGCGCGGGATTAACGCCTCGTACCCGGGCCGTTTCGCTTTTAATATCGCGGAACGGTAATTAGCCGTACGCGAGCAACGATTTTAACGACTCTCCTGCAGCCGGAGATCCGTTTCGTCGATAGCGAGAGGCGATCGGGCTGCGTTCGCGCGCCCAATTTCCGAGGAAACGCGCTTCGGGCTTTCGCATCGATCCTTCGATCGCCGCTCTCGCGGATCATCGATCGAAAGATTTCAGTTCCAACCAGCGAATCGCGAGCATTTTGTCAAGGTTATACATAATAAGATTATTATAAAATCGACTTTTTCCCAGTCCTACAGTCGCGTAGCAAAGAACGCGGCAGATTCGCTTCGAACGATTTTAACCGAATTGCAGCAAATTCTCTGCAATTGTCGTCTCTTTCTCCCGAAGCTTGCAAGAAGAAATGGACAATTTGAGAGGAGTGTTGCGCTTCGATCTCGTGGGAATTCATTCGGCTCGATTTTCGGCGCTCTCGAGCAAAATATTCGCCTCTCGTTTCTTCTTTCCGATGAATTTTTCGCGGTTTCCTCGGTCGCCGCGGCGATCCCATTGGCGGCGCACGAAAGTTAAACGCATAAAGTTGCCGGTGAAGCCGCGCGGAACGCGACCTCTTCGCCGGAAATAACAGAATTCGTTGGCCCCGGGCTCGGTAATCGCGTATTTAAATTGCCGGGCCGGGACGGTCTCGCGTTAGCGGGTCGCGGGCCGGTCCGGGCCGTTCTGTACAGTTTACCGAAATGGATGTTAATTTTCGGCATAAAGCCCGGGTAACGATCTGTAATTTCAGGTGGTGCAGCCAGCGCAATTCCACGCCGCGGCGGTCCGGTCGCGGCCTGTCTCTCCTTTGGCCAGGCCTCCGCCGCGTTTCAGCCTCTTCCTCCGCTCGTCCGGGCCTGTCCTGTCTCTCCTGTCTCCCTCCCCCCCCCCAACGCCGCGCGTGCTCGTCCTATTCATCCCGATTATTATACTCGGCTCGGCTCGGCTCGGAATCTCGCGGCCGACGAACCGGGATATTTCATAAAAGCACCGCCGCCGCCGCCGCCGTCGCCGCCGCAGCGCGCCAGCTGAACCGCGTTCATTATTTCCTACGCTCCGCCCTCTTTTTTAGCCCGAGCCGCGCGTTTCGTTGCTAATTGCCCGGAGCAACAGGTTCGTCTAGGAGACGCGCGGTTCTCCGAGTCGATCATCGGTCGATTCACGATCGGCCACGCGCTTAGATCCGATCGAGATCCTCGAACTTTCAGAGATGTTCGTGTTTGGTATTGGAAACATCGAGAGTTCGGATAGTGGAAGGATTTATTGCGAGGAAATATTGCGTCGGATTGTGTTGTGGAAGCTTTAAAAATCGCTCTCTTTCTTCCAATGTTTTGGAACGAATCGGAATCGCTAGATTTAACAAGTTATAGTAAATTACTCTCCGATTGTCCTTGTAAAGAAAAGTGGACAATTAGGGAAGTGGAGATGCGATTATTCGAGCTTTGAAGCTCGATACTTGCAGCTTTTATGGTTGTCGACAATTCGTAATTATAGAAATGAATTGCAAGACTCGAATAATCGTATCTTCTTTTACTAAATTGTCTATTTTTATGGACAATCTGAGGCGTCAATTAGAGAGACATTATTGTGCTTGGAAGGAAACATTGCTTCGGGTTGTGTTGGGAGATCTTTAAAAATCGCTCTTTTTGTTCCAATGTTTTGGAACGAATCGGAATCGCTAGATGTTAACAAGTTGTAGTAAATTACTCTCCGATTGTCCCTAAGCTTGTAACGAAAAGTGGACAATTAGGGAAAAGCAGACACGATTTTCCGAGTCTCGCGGTTTGTTTTCGTAATTGTCAACAATCAACGACTATAAATAGTATAATAAAATATATAAACTATATAATATAAAAATTTATAAAAATTTTCATGTCCCCTCTCCCTAAATTGTCCATTTTTGTGGACAAACTGAAGGACAATTGTAGAGAATTCACTGTACAATTAGCGATGAATATCCAAGCGGAACGTCTTCGATCGAAGAAAAACCAAAATGTAACGAAAGAAACGCAAGTCTCGAGATTATTTTATTGATAATTGAGAACTAGGTACAAATATTTATTTATAAATGTGTGAAAGAACGATTCGAAAGAATGCAGCTCGAAACGAGCGAACAAGAAGATAGTTTTGAGTGTGACTGAACTTTTTTATTGCATCAAGTGCAATGCGCACTAAGCGACTAAAGACGTTATTTTCTATTAGTTAAATATTTACGGTCCATTATTACCCAAATATAAAATTCTCATAAATCCAAGAAGTCGTTGGAGCGAACGATTCTCCACGCGAGAAACATTTGTGCTTAAAAATCGCGAATTCAGACCGAATACTTTACGAAATAGGAGCGGATCCGTAATGTATTTTCAGCGTTCGATGAATCGAACCTTGCTCCCCTACTCGAACAATCGAATTTCCTTCTCCCCCGTACCGCTTGTATAATTCATTACCGGCCGCAATAAACTCGCGTCGTCCTCGTAAAACGAGACGTCTTTTCGCGGTGCTTGGAACTCGGTTGCGAGAGAACATTCGTCGCGATCGAACTGTCGCATTCATAAGCGTCGAACGCGGGCTACGAAATAACGCGTCCGGGCGACAAAATAAATTCGTTTCTTGGCCGATCGATTCCCGTTCGTTTCGTTTCGTTTCGTTTGCCCGTTTCGTTCGTCCCGGGCTGCGCCAATTAATTCCTCGGCCTGCGTGCACGGCTCTGTGTATCTCTCCTGTTAAATTACACGCGGCTCGAGCCAAATCGCATTAAAGATTTATCTCGTTATCCGCGGCACCCTTGTTCGCGAGTTTTCGCCGTTTCGCCGTTCGTCGCCGCTTTATTCGAGCCGATCTCTAAGAGACAGAAACTCGTCGGAGCCGATAATCAGTTCGACGGAGACCGTTCCAAGTTCCGGCGATTACAAGCGCCGAGCTCGCACCTGTACTGTTTCGCCGACTCCGTCTCTCCCCGACCGAAGGCAACAACCAAAGTTTTTCCTACGACCCGGCGAACTCCTGCGGAATCAATTTATACGTTAACGAACGGCAGATTTCGTTTCGCCGCGTTTCTCGATGCGAGACCGCTTCCACGCCCGTGTTTTTCTTCGACCGTCGCGCAGCTCTTTTTTCGCCTCGAATGCAATTTTGGCGACATATTTCTTTCTCTTAGATTTCTTCCCTTCGTTTACTCGGTCAAAAGATTGCTTGTTCCAATGCAATAACGTTTGAAATTCGACAAATATAACTTTCTTCTCGGTAACAAAAACGTCGACGATTTCATTTCTTTTTTTTTTATAACGTCGCGCCCATGGCAGAAAAATCTGAGAAAAATTGAGCGCACTGCTCGCGAAACCTTGCAAAAATTAGCGTAAAAATAAACCCGGATTTTTGGACTCGATCCTTTCGAACGTCCGACTTACATTTGTTGCCGCGAGATACTTTTATTTGTACCTAAGCGCAACCGCTTCCGGAATGAACGAAGTTCGCGAATTTCTGTTGCAGGTCCCGAGCTGGCCCGTTCTGGAATATTACCGCGTTGACAGGCGTTCAGCAGCGGCTACAACGAGACAGCGTTAAATGAGGTAAGCGTGTGTCCCAGGAATCTTATCAGCGTCACACTTTCTCTGTTATCGGAAAGACCGACGGGGTTCGTTACAGTACGTCGCATCTTCCGCTTACTCGCACACGCGGCTCACGGATATCGTATACCTGTTGCTCGAATGAAAGTGGAGAAAGTGTCCGACGCGAGTCCCACTAGCATCCGTCGAATGCCAACGAAATTATATGCGGAATTTTAAGCGGCGACGCGCCGGCGAGCGTCGCTCGCGGATGCTGGCGATTTTTCGAACCCGCTTACAAATTCTTGGAGACGATCGAACGTTTCCAAAGCCGGCTGTTCTCGGATGATACGACAATGATTCGTGTTTCATAGATGGTAATTTCTCCTGGAAATGCTGGATTTTGGGTTCCTGTGAATTTCGCTGTGCTAGTTCGACGCCTATGTGATTTACTTGATGCGTCGAAAAAGTGCGGAGCTGCGGGCTACGCGATCAATCTTCGACGAATTGAGTCACGTGACCTCTGAATTGCCTTTGAATCGTGTCATGTGACCTTCGAATTGCCTCCAATTGCCTTCGAATTGTCTTCGAATTGCCTTCGAATTGTCTTCGAATTGCCTTCGAATTGTCTTCGAATTGCCTTCGAGTCGCGTCACGTGTCATCAAAATTACCTCCGAATTGTCTTCGAATTGTCTCCGAATTGTCTTCGAATTGTCTCCGAATTGTCTTCGAATTGTCTTCGAATTGTCTCCGAATTGTCTTCGAATTGCCTTCGAATTGCCTCTGAATTGTCTCCAAATTGTCTTCGAATTGCCTTCGAGTCGCGTCACATGATATCCGAATTGCCTCCGAATTGCCTCTGAATTGAATTGCCTCGAAATTGTCTTCGAATTGCCTCCGAATTGCCACCGAATTGCCTTCGAGTCGCGTCACGTGCACATTCGAATTGCCTTCGAGCCGCGTCACATAACATCCGAATTGCCTTCGAGCCGCGTCACATAACATCCGAATTGCCTTCGAATTGCCTCCGAATTGCCTTTGAATTGAATTGCCTCCAAATTGCGTTCAAATTGCGTTCAAATTGCTTCCGAATTGCTTTCGAATTGCCTTCGAATTGCCTCCGAATTGCCTCTGAATTGAATTGCCTCCAAATTGCCTCCGAATTGCCTTCGAATCGTGTCACGTGGCCTCCGAATTGTCTTCGAATTGCCTTCGAATCGCGTCACGTAGCCTCCGAATTGCCTTTTCTTTTCAAAGCAGTCTTTTTCTGCCAACCGCCTCGAGTTTCCATAAAAACGAGCCGCGAGGCCCAAAGAATCGCGACTCGGAATTCTCGGATCTGCCGGTTTCGATTCCGACCTCCGAACATTTCTAGGAGAAATTACTGTAATCGCGTTCCGTCGATTTCCTCGTAATCGCATCGGCAGCCTCGCCGCGGCGCGCTGCCAGCCAACAGCTCGGCAGTCTTGCATCAGTCCCCGACTCGGAAACAAGCCGGTAGCCAACGAAACCATAGCAGTATCGCGTCCGCTGGTGCTCTATAATCGCGTTACCGGTCCCCAGCGATACACGATTATAGAGAACGGAACACCCGCTAAGTTCAACGCGTCAAGGATACGAGCAACGTAACTATCAGCCGTGATTCCAGCGTTCTTCGACATTTGAAGACGTTCCTCCGGGTACACCTGTTCGGAGAATACCGCGAGCAATCGAGCCGATAGGTGAGCAGGAACGAATCACAGTAATGGGGCCCGCCCCGGTCCCATTTCTTACTCCCTAAGCTGGCGCGCACGTCCCCACCGCTTCGCCGCTCCACCGACCTACGGTGGATCCTGCCTCGGCGGTGAATCGTCGGCCAATCGGAGCAGAGAGAATGTTTGCAGACGTAGGACCCATTACTGTGCACCAAATTCTCCCCAATTGTCCCGCAGCTCGGAGACGAAAATGGAAAACTCGGGAAGTGGTGATCCTATTATTCGCGGCCCGTTTTTACATTTGCCGATTATCAATAATTAAAAAATCACCTCTTCCCAAGTTCTCCGCTTTTGTTTCGACAAGCTATTGTCAACTATTCGTTCTCCGATTCAAATCGGAGCTCTCGGACTTCGATCGAGCACTTTTCGGCCAGATGAACACCGCCCGGCAAAAGCAAGTGGCTCCGAAACTGGACAGAAAGGATCCGGATTAATGAAGGTGTTCCGCGCGGCATGCCGGGACGCCGGTCCATGAATGATCAATGAAATTAAATCGTTATTTAATTATCAGCGGTCGGAGGCGGTCGAAATCGGCCGGCCGGATTTCCGCGACGCGATCGGCAACGATAGGAAATCGATTGCCTCAATTTGTCCGGCTGAAACTATCCCGGAGACTATGCTCGGAATTCCTATTAGCCTTTCTCCGATCTTCGTTCCGTGCCCCTCCCTCCGTAGCAGCGCGCCGGCAGCCCATTGGCCGGCCGGCGAGTCGCGGCGCGACGCGATCCGTTTCCACGGCGGCCACGTGACCCGCGGGATCCTCGCGCATCCCCTCCCCGAGAACCAGTTCGGCGTCTAGGCAGCGCGATATTTCATCCGGAATGCCTATAGAGGGGAGATTCCTCGGGACGAGATCCTTTAGGGTCCTCCCGCGTTCCCTTCGTTACTCGCATTTGTACGCGTCGCTTTTACTTCTGTCCCCTTGCTTCGTCCTTTCGCCTACTCCCGCATCGGCGTCACCCTCCACCGGACCTGCCGGAATCCCGACGATTTTTTTCACCTACGACCCGATGTTTCCTTCCGGGTGGAATTCGGCTGATTTACGCGTCACGGCCCCGGACGATGTCGCGATTAAACGCGAACACGACGGACTGAGAAATCGGCACTTCGCGGGCGTTAACGGCCGCTTTTTTATCTCTCTTGGAAGTCACTGGAGTCACTGGAGTTTTCGCTTTCGCTATTACGAAAAGAGGAAATAAATGTCGATAAAGAAACGGAAGGTATTTGCGACTCTCGACCTAATAAAATTAACATTGAAATAATTGAAAGTAATTGCAAGTAATTAAAAATAATTGAAAGTAATCGAATGTAATTGATCGTAATTGAAATAATTGAAAATAACTGAAAATAATTGAAAAATAATTGAAAAATAATTGAAAATAATTGAAATTAATTCAAAATAATTCTATTCAATTAAGATTGAAAATAAGACGGAAAATAGAGTTTTTGTCTTCCCAGCATGAATACTAAAATAATTGACGCAACCTCGAGGCACAGTGGCGGGGGAAGAACGCTGCTGGGTCGCGTGAATTGAACAGCGCGGCACAGCGGCCGCGAAATAACGAGTAGCAGCGAATGAGACGATCGCCGGAGCAGATCCGATACGAGATCGTTCAGCGAGAGCGACTAAATAACCGGAGAATTAATAATTCGGCGCGCGGGACCGGTCGGCGTGGCCGCGAACATCGAGAGAGAGAGAGCGAGAGAGAGAGAGAGAGAGCCCGGTTACAATGTTGCTGGCCATTTATAACGATGGACGTCAACGGCATAACGTATTAATCGTCGAACGGCGCGGGCTAGAAATCAGCGCGGATCGATCTCGGCGTGATATTTCAGCTGGAAAACAGTCTCTCTCTCGCTGGCCCCGTCGAAGGCGTTCGCATTTATTACGAGCTTTATTCCGGCGAGCTTCCAGCGATCGGCTATATAACCGGCGCAAACACGGGGCCGTAGCCGGTGCCGGCGAGCCAGCCAGAGCCCGCCTCGCTTTCATTCACGGCCCGGAAATCAATTATTCATGCAGGATTCCCTTCGCCGTATTCTCGACGGCCGCTTCTTCTTCCACGGCCGCGTTTCTCCACGGCTCGATTGGATTCGAATCGCTGGGAAGCTGCGCGATAAAAAAAGAGAAAGAAAGAAACGAACGAAACCGAAATACGACGGAAGAGAAAGATCGCCGCCGGAACGACCAGAGAGCCTGGTAATTAATATTCGATGAAAACCCGCCGACCGGCCTGTCCTCGCGCGGACTCGAAACCCCGATTTACGATTTACGACCAAGATCGTCCAGGAATCTGTAACCCTTTGCTCGCGCAATTCGCACGGAAATTAGCCTCGGACGTCGCGATGCAATCGCTGCCTGTTACCTTCGATTTTTCACGTTTATTTTCCAATCGTCCGCGGATGAGCGCCGACGCGCTTCGACGCGTCTTGCTTCATTAATTACGCAGATGTCGTCAGCTCTCTATCTGCGCAACAAAATAATCGTCCAGTAAAACATTCGCTGCTGCTTCAGAATTTTTAAGACGATTTTATCTCGTGTCTGAGAGTGAAATTAATTTGGAAACACGATGATGCAGCGGTGCGAATGATTATGCCAAGGTTATGTCTACTATTTTGTAATAATTATAGAAAGTAATTTTTACGCTTTTAGTGATATTTGAACGAAAGTATATTCCTATTTTCTATTATCTCTAATATGATAAGAAGAACAGTCTTTTTTCTTGGTTCTTGTTTAAATATATGTAAAAATGTATATTTAAAATTTTTTTCTTCAATTTACAGTTATTCGCAGCTACGTGGGTGATCATTTTTACCCGAGTCACCTTATATATATAGAAAAAAAGGAAACTTAATGGAATATCGTACTTGTATATTTCCAGAAACAATATAAAATAGAGATATGCAAATATAACCCTTTGCACTCGAGTGTCGACTCCGACCACTAAAAATTGTTATACTATTTTTCCAAGTAATTGTAACAGTATCAGACTCGTTTCTATCTGAAAGACTCTTAAAATTGCAAGTTTCGTACTTGCCCAATAGGCTTTCGTACGCATAAATCGCAATAAATCATATAAAACAGAAACACTATAGATCAGAAAATATGTTTAAAATATAATTAAAATAACATCTTGAGGGATAACATCTTGTCACAAAATTACGCATTCAATTGTCGTGCATAATTACGCATAAAAACGCGTCCGAGGAATACTTTCCGCCGCATACGTAGAAGAATCTACGGAGCACAAAGGGGTCCGATCCGCGTC